TCCAACAATCCAACAACAATAAAAACTAAATGAGAAAAGGCTTCTATAACAAAACAAAACAAAAAAGAATAAACAATTTCACTTTTCTATTACATTTTCCCTATTAACAAACACCTGGTCATTTCTGACCTGGAATACAAACAATTCCTATTATTAATATCTATGCTTAAGGCTCGTTAACAATGTCCTGTAATAAACTCAAGAGATAAAGAACAACCAGGATCACATACAAGAACTGCTGTGCTGGTGCACGGCTCTTCCTCAGAAAGTGGCTCCTCCTTGATGTGTTTCTTTTTATCCTTCTTCTTCTTCTTCTTTACAGATGGCTCCTCCTCTACCTCTTCCTCCTCCTCCTCCGCTGCTGCCTCCTCCTCCACCTCCTCCTCTTCTACTTCAGCCGGTACAGAAAGAATTAGAATTGAATTAGACTTACTTACTTCCCTCAAACCCTAGAATACTTTTCTTCCTTTAATTATGGTCAACTCTCCAGTGTTTATTATTATGATCATTTTATTGTCTAACACTATTAACCATAAATAATCCAGACCAAGCTCAAAAGTCCTGAGTTCAATTCTCAGTAACCGCATGGTGGCTCACAACCATCTGTAATGAGAGGTCTGGCGCCCTCTTCTGGTGTGTGGGCATACATGGATGCAGAATGTTGTATATATAATAAATAAATCTTTAAAAAAGACACCAAAATCTAATTTAACAACAGCCTAACCTGTCAAATGGCATATTAAAACACTATCAGTTTTCACTGAATGCAATGGTAGACATTTCTCTCATACTTAGTCTGTAGTTTTTAAAGATCCTTATTGAAGAATCTTTAAAAATTAAAAATTCCAGCGAGGGCCTGCAAGACGGCTCATTGGGTGAATGCATTTGTGGGGAAGGCTGCGACCTGTGTCTGCTTTCTGGACCCAGTCATACACGGCGTCCTCAGACTTCTGTGCACTCTTCCATGCCATCCCATCCCAACAGAATAAATAAAAATTTTTAAAAAAATTCCAACTAACCTTTAATTTTAATCTTGGCTTTTTTTGCTTTCTTTTCAGTAATTTCATCCTCTTTATCTACCTCTTCTATTTTTCGTTTTTTAGAACAAGTTGGAAGTGTGGAGTCACCAGAGGGATCATATGTCTTCACTTCACTGGAAAAAAAAAACAAAAAAAACAAACAAAAAAAAAAAACAAAAACAGACAAATCTTTACAAATACCTGTAACTGAAATAAAAAAAAGCAAATACTGTTGGATAAGGCAAAAGAACACAATGGTTTCATTCTAGCGGTTTTAAGGTAGTTTAGATAAGTCAATCACATTCAAAGCGAGTAAATTCTAATTTAGATTTTAAATTCTATTATATAGAAATACAACAGCATTAAAAGGGAAACAATGAAGTGAAATCACTTTCCAATTAACTACAAAGTAAAACCGCACTGATTGCAAGATGTCACACAATCCCATTAAAGGCAAATCTTCACCACAAGCTGAAAAATTGTACAGTAACAACACACCAATCCCCTACGACATGAATTAGATCTCATAGCTGTGGTACAGGAATCTGAACGAACTGAGCAGAGTTCTGTCCAGCAGGGCTGTGGATGAATACCATTTAATAACAGAGAGCCACACAAGTCAACCAAATCATGGAGTCTATATGCTTACAATCAATGCTATTAAATATTGCTCGGTCCCCTTCTAACCTATGCTGCCATTAAAATCCACACATACCTAACTAGAGATCATAACCCAAGAAGCTGTGATACTAAGGAGAACAATTTTGAATTCCAACAGCTATGATTTATATAGCAAGATCTCATAGTTTCTTTATTTTTTGCTTTCTAAAAGACTGTGTAGGTTAGACTGGCCTCAAACTTGCTTTCTAGGCAAGGATGAACATCATCTCTAGCCACACTGCATCCATTTCCCAAGGGGTATACTGAGGACCTTGATACTCATGATCATAACTGACACTCAAGAGCATTCCACCTAGCCTAGTGTCAAATGATAACTAAAGCCGGGCGGTGGTGGCGCACGCCTTTAATCCCGGCACTTGAGAGGCAGAGGCAGGCGGATCTCTGTGAGTTCGAGACCAGCCTGGTCTACAAGAGCTAGTTCCAGGACAGGCTCCAAAGCCACAGAGAAACCCTGTCTCGGAAAACCAAAAAAAAAAAAAGGATAACCAAAGCGTCCCTCTACATGCTAGTAAGGTAAGGTCTCCATGCTTCTATAGGACCATGAACTACAAAGTAGGTCAAGTGAGTAAATGCATACTTATGAAGGACCAGCCAGAGGACTCGATGAGGAAAAGCATTTGATAATCGCCGGAACTCACATGGTAGGAGAACCAACTCCTGAAAGTTGTCCTCTAACCTCCACATGAGTGCCGTGGCTTGTGTACACACATACAACGCACCCCAAATACATAAAAGCTGAAAGTGTGAAAAACTAAATGGCAAGAAAAAATTATGCACATAAAAGATGTATATAGACAGCATGGTGGTTAACACGTTCCTGAAAATTGCTCACAGAATTTTTAAGTATTATTAACAAACACAAAAGATCTACCTATCTACCTGCCAATTTGACTTAAGTGATTCCACAACTGCAAACTGTTAAAATATGGATACACTAAATAAATGAGATTATTGTCAAAAAAAAAAAAAAAAAAAACCCAAAAACAAAAACACAAAACCCAAAAAACCTCGTTTTTCTGTGTGCGTGTCCTGACAGCTGAGAGCTGCCATGTGGGTTCTGGGACTCAAACCCAGGTCCTCTGCAAGAGCAGTAAGTGTTCTGAACTACTGAGGCATTACTCCAATCCCATCAGTTTTAAAAATGATTTATGTTATGCACATGAGTGTTTTGCTGTATGTATGTGTATGTACAAGGGTACCTGGTTGTGAGCGACCCCGTGGGTCTTCTCCAAGATGACCTCAATGAACACTCTTAGCTGCTCATCTATCTCTCTAGCCCCTTATTCCACACTGAATTTACAATAAAAAATATTTAAACAAGCGACTCTTCATTCTATATACTTTACCTTTTGTGTTCGTACTTTTCTGCTTTTGCTAATGCCTTTCCTGTTCCACTTATTTTTCTTATCTAAGGAGAAAAATAAAAATTACTAAGTCAAAATCTGCAATATATCCTCTATTGGATAGCATACAGCAGTATGTGATAAATTCTTTGCTATTGAGTAAACACATTCAAACAGAAAACATTGTAACACACTTTCTTGGCTAACGTAAAGATAAATCAACAGCAGAAAATATATAAGCATAATAAGAAACATGGAAAAAAGCTATGTTTCCAGGCGATTTGTGTTCATGAGACTGTAATTTATTATTAACTTTTGGTAGGCTAACATTTGCCATAGACAGGGTGTGGTTCTTACCCCTCTGTCCTCCAAAATTCTCAGTCTGGCTTCTAATTTGGCTCTGTTCTCCACTCCCATTGCAGAACTGGAATCTTCACCAAATGCATCGTATCGGATAGCCAAGACAGTTTTGGCTGCCAACATTCGAGAAATCTATTAACAAAACATAAACCAGACAGCAATGCTTATTTCCAAGGAGATTATAAATCCTCAATTGTTTACTCAAGAGAAAATTACAGAAAAATCACCATATTACTATTGATTCTGGACTAGAATGAAAAGGTCTAGTCATGTCTTTCTCTCTACCCCTTTCTTGACCTGAGTTCAATCTCCATGACCCACATGAGGGAAGGAGAGAGACCTCCACAGGCTTGCACACACACATTTGAAAAACTAAAATTGTGTTTCTTTTTGTTGTTTTTTTCAAGAGAGGGTTTCTCTGTAGCTTTGGTGCCTGTCCTGGAACTCACTCTGTAGACCAGGTTGGCTTTGAACTAAGAGAGTCCTCCTGTCTCTGCGTCCCACGTCACCACTACCTGAAACTGCAATTTTAATGTATACTATAATCAGAGTAGTAGCAAAATGAGTTTGGCGGGGAAGTAAAGCTCAAGGGTTAAGAAGAGGGCTGGGGGGGGGAGGGGGTAGGAGGCTGGAGAGGTCCTCAGTCCAATTCCCAGCACCACAAGGTGGCTCACAACCACCTGTAATGGGGTCTGGTACCCTCTTCTGGCCTGCAGGCATACACGCAGATAAAATATTGTACACATTTTTTTTTTTTTTTTGGTTTTTCGAGACAGGGTTTCTCTGTAGCTTTGGAGCCTGTCCTAGAACTAGCTCTCTCTGTAGACCAGGCTGGTCTCGAACTCGTAGAGATCCGCCTGCCTCTGCCTCCCGAGTGCTGGGCATAATAAATATTTTTGAAAAAAATTCTTAAAAAAGAAACCCCTTTTCGTCAAGATGGCGCCGAAAGCGAAGAAGGAAGCTCCCGCCCCTCCCAAAGCCGAAGTTAAAGCAAAGGCCTTGAAAGCCAAGAAAGCAGTGCTGAAAGGCGTCCACAGCCACAAAAAGAAGATCCGCACATCACCCACCTTTCGGCGGCCCAAGACCCTGCAGCTACGAAGGCAGCCTAAATACCCCCAGAAGAGCGCGCCCAGGAGGAACAAGCTTGACCACTATGCCATCATCAAATTCCCCCTGACCACCGAGTCAGCAATGAAGAAGATAGAAGACAACAACACACTTGTGTTCATTATGGACGTCAAGGCCAACAAGCACCAAATCAAACAGGCTGTAAAGAAACTCTATGACATCGATGTGGCCAAAGTCAGCACCCTCATAAGGCCCGACGAAGAGAAGATGGTGTATGTTCGGTTGGCTCCTGATTATGATGCGCTGGATGTTGCCAACAAGATCGGAATCATCTAAACTGAGCCCAGCCGGCTGATTCTAAATATACACTCACCATAAAAAAAAACAAAAAACAAAACAAAAAAAAAAGCTTGTCTTGAAAAATAAAAAAGTAACAAACAAAAAGATGGCTCAGATATTAATAGCATTTGCTGGTCTTACTGAAAACCTGGGTACAGTTCAACATAGACATAGCAGCTCACAAATGAAGCCCTCTAACAACTGAAAAAACAAAACAAAACACACTTAACTCACCTTTCCTTTATGTTTGGGACTTGTCTGTCCTACAAGAGAAGCATGATAAATGAGCCCATATTTAGGGGTGTCTCGTCTAGATTTGAGTGCCCTGAAAAGTGCCTTTTCTGCGCCAAGAATCTGAACCGTAGAAGCTGCATGCTTGGCCAAATTCAAAAGAGAACCTACAAAATAAATTAATGAAAAAAAATTTTTAAAATGTACTTTCAGGTATATAAAAATTCTCTACTAGTGTATTGAATTCCCTCAAAACCCTAAATGTTTTCATTCCTACTGTAAGGAAAGCTATGAGCTGGAGAATTCAAACTGCATTACCATGTGAGTATGCGTGAAGTAAACATTAGCAATTTAATCATCATCTCAGACTCTGAAAATAAAGTATGCTATTGCTACAGATACATCAAGTCATATCAATGGTACAGAGCCACTGTTACCCTTGCTGTAGAGATGGCTCAGTGGTTGAGAGCACTCCCTAGCTGTTCTTCCAAAGGACCCAGATTCAATTCCCAGCACCCACATGGCAGCTCACAACTGTCTGTAACTTCAGTTCAGAGGACCTGACACCTTCACACCAATGCACATAAAATAAAATTAAATAATTTAGAAATAAAAAAAATCTTGATATAGACTAACATACCTGGTTGGATTTGCTGCATGTAAGTTTTAGAAATATTGAAGACACTAATGGTACAAACTCAAACATTAGAAATACACTTAAAGTACAAATTCAGTTTTTAGTCTATGATCTCTTGCTGCTGGTAAGGTTACCTACCGACTGAACCAGAGTAAAGATAACGGAAACAGTCCATGTATCATGACTTTACAGCAAAGGGGACTTGGAGTATTTGTCTGATATCACTGAAAGAATTATTTCAGCTTAAAAGAGATCTGTGATGAAGTATAGCAATGTATCCAGTTAATACTGTAATTTTTAAAATGTATTCAAATCTTGGTGTGATGATTTTTCTTTGAGATGTTGAAAACTGACTAGACTTATGGCTAAAATGATAGCAAACTAACTTTAGCCTTCTGACTAAGGACCACAGTGTCTCAGAAGAGGTAGTGACTGAAGATGCCCTCATTATTCAACAAGAACTCAGGCAAAGCAACAGGAATCATCAATGAACCATGGTCCCCAGTCTGTACTGTGTTACACTCATGTTACAAGTCACATTAACACTGTCACCTGCATGAGCAATGAGTCGTGCTCCAACCAACTCCCCAACCATGACCGTAACATTGGGTGCGATGGCCATCATGCGATTTTGCAGATACTCATACAGCTGAGTTCTATACTCAGAAATTTCAATCACCTGAAATGAGGAAGCCACAAAGGTTATGGGTAAAGAGCGCATGATGCATTTTGAGAATATCAGATTGCAATAGATACAAGTAGACACGCACAGGTAACTTACTGACAGTTAAGTCAACACTACAATGGCTGGGGCAAGATTACAAGAGCATGGGGGTAAGATCAGTCCTAGGTGCTTGGTAAGAACCACCCCTAAAAATAAAATAAGCTAGTCGTGCTAGTTCATGCTTAAAATCCCAGCACTCAGGAAGCCTGAGGAAAAATTACAAAAAAAAAAAATCTAGAATTAAGCAATCCTATCAGTATTATCTTGGTAGTCTTAAACTAGGTTAAACCACTTTTCCAAATACAATGCTCAGGCCAGGTGTGCTGTCGCATGCCTTTAATCCCACAACTGGGTAATTCCTGATGGTAGTGAGTTCTAATCCAGCCTGGTCTACATAGTGAGTTTCAGGACAGACAGGGCAACAGAGACTGTCTCCTAAAACCAGAACCCAAACAAAAAATACACATAATATATATAAATTACTTCATGTTGTCATTACCGCATACCCACACCCAAAAACATGGCATCAGATGAGGTAGTGACTGAACACCTTCATATAATGTCAGGTGAACAACAATGCAAACATCATCATTGCCATCAGCAAAGACTCAACTACAGCCCCCGCGGATGTAACGTACCTGGGTACACAGATGCAGAATGTTGCAAATATCTTCCTCGGAAACCTCTGTTCCCATAGATATCTCTGCGGCTGCTTTCACCTCTGCTTCTACCTCCTCTGACAGAAATTCAGAGAGAGTCGCAGATGCATAGTTCTTCCTGTCACCTGTGGAATGCATAGAAGATGAAGCAGAATCATTCCCAAATAAAAACAGAGAAGAGGAGGAGGGGAGGGAGATAAAGCAAATACTGGCACAGCCTGGTCCACAAAGTTACAGGTCACACAAAGAAAATACTTCAATGCTTCCCTCAAAGCAAACAAAAAATCCAAAACAATCCAGTCAGGGAGAGGCAGGTGGATCTCTGTGAGTTCAAGGCCAGTCTGGACTACAGAGCAAGTTCCAAGATAGGTATCAAAGACACACATAGCAATCCTGACTCAAAACAATCATAAAACAAAACACCCCAAGAGGGGCTGGAGAGATGGCTCAGTGGTTAAGAGCATTGCCTGCTCTTCCAAAGATCCTGAGTTCAATTCCCAGCAACCACATGGTGGCTCACAACCATCTGTAACGAGGTCTGGTACCCTCTTCTGGCCTTCAGGAATACACACAGACAGAATATTGTATACATAATAAATAAATAAATTAAAAACACCAAGAATTATTTTGAAAACAAAAATAAGACAAAGCATCTTCTAAACATATTTCATAAAAGGCGACAGATACGAATAGGATTAAGGATCAGGCAGTGGTGGTAATGGCTTTAATCCTAGCATTTGGGAGGCAGAGGTGGGTGTATCTGTGAGTTCAAGGCCAGCCTGGTTACAAGGCACATTCCAGGACAGACCATCTCAAAACACCCCCCCCAATAGAATTAAGGATGCCATAAAAGGATTCAAAGGATGCAACATTCTGAAACTATATATGTTTTTGTTTCAAAATAGGGTTTCTTTGTGTAGTCTTAGCTGTCCTGGAACTTGCTCTGTAGGCCAGAGGCCAGCCTAGTGTCAGCACCAACACCTCGACCTGGCTGAAACTATGAACTTTAGCTGGACCTCACAAAGTCTTCATAATATACCTTGAGGTTACTCAAGACTTAACACTCATAATATACCTTGAGGTTACTCAAGACTTAACACTGCTATCCAACTGTCACTCAGCCTGTTTTTTTAACCTGCTTCTTAGAGAACAATGCAGCAATTAACCTCATTTGCCTTGGATTTCTCATGGAATCAACTTTTAGAGCCTAATTTAATGCAAAGTTGTAATCTTAAAATATACCATAAAAGCTGAAAGCATTATTTATAGCTACAATAATCTTTGTTATCTGGGTCAGTTGGAACCATTTGGAACTAGTGACTTTGTTACTTGGAAAGTTAAGATATTTAAAAGAAGTCACTTACTTGAAAAATTTAAAACTAATTCTAAGTTAGATCAATTTATCATTACTACTGAGCTATATTCATGTAGTTTCAACATAAAGGGCAAACAACCGACTTACCAACTTTCTGTAAACACTTGCAGTATGTCAAATTATCTGAAATAATTTTCCCTAATTCAGGGAAGTGCCAGCCATACCATTCCCTACACCGCATAATGTAGTTGTTTAGTTCTTTATCCAAGTCATCTAACAAGGCTGCAACATGAAATAAAAACAGAAGCAATGAGGGACTGATAACAAATTGTCTTAAAGCATTTTCAAGCATTTAGTGGCATTAAGTACATTCACACCATACAACCATTAACAACATCCTTTTTCAGACTTGTTCCATTATGCAATAAACTGAAAATTTTTTAATATTTATTATGCATACAATACTTTGCGTGTATGCCTGCAGGCCAGAAGAGGGCACCAGATCTCATTACAGATGACTGTGCACCACCAAAGTGGGTTCTGGAAATTAAATCCTGGTCCTTTGCAGGAGCTACCTTTCTACACTGTTTGGCTTCTTTCACAGGAGAAGTTTTCCTCACCGTGGCATGTATTATGTTATTTCTTTTAAAGACCGAATACCATCTTAGGTGTGTATGCACCTGTATTTATATTTTATTTATTGATTGATAAAAATTTTCCTTTTCAGCTAGTATAAATAATACTGCTATGAACAGAGGTGTGGCAACCCAAGGGACTACTAAGCCCATGATTTTAATTCTTGATACACATTTAGTAATATGTTAGTCAAAGCAGTTTTTATTACTTCCATGTTTCTTAAAATTGTTCAATTCATGAACATCTAAAAAAGACAGGCGAAAACCGGAACACTTAAGGACACAAATCTTTCTTGCAGTTTTCGCACTTACAATGAAGAAACTGGTATGTAATATTAACATGAGTCTTTGCTTCCCCAGTCATCTACTCACTGAAGTTCTAGTTCATCTTTAACAGACAAAATTAGTAACAACAGCTGAGAGAAACAACTAAACAGATCAGATTCTGCCATGTACTTACAAATTGCCTGAACAATCATTGTGTCTACTTTATCAGCACTGAATTTCAATCTGTATCGAGACAGGCTGGGGAGATGAAGAGAAATAAACAGCATTTTACAAAGGACCTCAATTAAGGCACCCCATTCCCACCTTCCCCGACTGGTGTGTTCATGTGAGTGGGTAGCGAGTGCAGATCTGTCACTGGACTGGAACTTGAACAGCAGGACAGGCTGGCTAGCTAATGAGCTCCAGGGACCTGCCTGTGTAAAACCCTGTACTCTGGGATTTTAATGCTGCCAAGCCCAGTTCTGGGAGGCCTCAACTCAAATCCTATGACTGTGTGATAAATACTTTGCAACTGAGCAAGCCTTGAACTTGCCACAGAGCTGACAACTACGTTTTTTCTTATGAATTTGTTCTGGTGGGCAGAGTAAATAATAATAAGATAGAGCATAACGTTTGTATAACATCTGAAAACATCTGAACTGTAGATCTCACCACTAATGACGTTTGTAGTCTTGCAATCGCATACTGTAGGGTGTCCTTTATATTACAGGACATATCTAGTATCT